GTGCATTGATTTATATTCTGGCACAAGTTTTCTTGGTTGATGATAACAAACAGTTCCCTAACTGGCATCTCTGACTGTTCTAGAGAATGCCTGATATAACTTTTACTGTGAGTTTTTTGTTTTAATTTATGAAATTTTATAACTTCATTAAATTTTTCCCTGTGCTTTGCCTGTTTCTCCTTGTTTTTAGCAATTAAAACAAGTTTAGATTTTATAGCCACCATAATAATAATTCAGGCAAGAATCATCAATGCATGCTAAAACATTAGATGAAAAACTATTGGGGAAAAATTATGGGAGAAATCTATTGTTAAAATATTAGATGAAAAACTATTGGGGGACAAAACTGTGGGTTATAGGCTGACCCATGGTTCCCTTAACTAATTACAAAGGAGAAAACTGGCAGATACTACCTTTACCAAATCATCAATCTTATTGATGATGGGACAAATCGATGGGAACAAACCCCAAATGTGATGCGTTGTAAAGGACATGTCACCGACATATGGCTCTTGCTGAAATATTTAACCTGGTTTTAATCATGATTAATCATTTTTGACAAGAACACTATGTAGGTGAGGAAATAAAAAGACAAATCCAAATTGACAATTGGTTTGGACTCTTAAAAAATGTCAATACCATGGAAGACAAAAAGACTAAGGATAAATGAAACTCAATGCTATATGTGAATCTTGATTGGCTCCTGGTCTGGGAGAAGAAAGCCATAAAGAACATTATTGGGACCATCAGGGAAATCTGAATATGTGGTCTCCATATTATCTAATGGTATTGACAAATTTCCTGAGTTTGTATAAGCTGATATATTTAGGGGTAGAGTGTTAAGATGTATACAAGTAACTCTCAAGAGATTGAATGAAAATAAATTTAGAAACCTTAGAAAGATGTTATGTTCATCATCAGAGCAGAAAGAGAGTGAAAAAACTGTGGAACTGAGTTCTGTTTTACGGTGGATAAGGGACACAGAGAAACCCTGGTTGGAAGTAGAAGGAATTGGTAGGGAAAAACCAAGGAGGCCTATTGTGGCAGCCTGCAGCAAAAAGGAAAGGGATGACCCAAAAGGGGACTGGGGACTGAAATGTTACTTTCAGTATTTATACTATAGGAAGTCCTTACCGTCTGATTCATTAGTATCCTGATTTCTGTCCTCACCATCCCTCACTTTTGAAGTCCCTGACTGAGGCCTCAGGATTGGCTATCGGTAGCTTATAGATGAGGTAACAGCAGAAAGGGAAGGTAGATTTCTTGCATTTGAAGTAAAAAGTTTGATACATTTTCCCAGGGAATATTGTTTTTTGTGTGATGATTACTTTCCATACTAAAATGCCAAAAGTACAGTTAATTCATAAGATGG